CTTCAGTATAGTGCTTGAGAGTGAAGAGTGCTAGTGACTTGGTAATGTAGATCTAATGCAATTAAAACATCCAATTCTACTCTGCAATTATGTCTACTCTTCCCGTTTTGAACCAGGACTAGCTTTACCTGGCACAGATGGTTGTAATATAAATAGCAAGTCATGGACAAGTTTACTTTCTCGGACATGAATGCTCACATTAAAACATAGCAATTAGTCTTTAATGTGCAACAACTTTTTTCTTTTGTCTTTTTTATTTTGGTTTTGGTTTTGCCTGAGTTAATGTTAAAGTACTTGCTAACATCTCTAACTATTAGGAATGCACATCTCCTGTCTGGAAAATAAAATTAGGTTCTTAGGATAACAAAACTCAGAAGATTCTACTATATACCATATAACCTTGGTTGTATGAAAGACATGCAGTAAATGTCCAATGATCTCTAAACTGCTTATTATAGCTACACCAAGACTTTTGTTCTCATCTGCTTCTAGGCATACATGTGTTAACCTGTGTCTACTGTCAAAATGCAAACTAACGTATATAAGATGAACTAAGAACCAGAATCATTAATGACTTCTGAGTATAGACAACTCACTGTTTTGTGTCATTGCGTACAGCTTTGCAGCATTCCTTTGTATTTGTGTGGCAATTCCACCAATTCTAAACAGCTGTGCATAGTTTATTTAAAAATAATAATAGCTGATTTGTATGCTACAGTGAATGGTGCATGATTACATACATACATACATACATACATACATACATACATACATACATACATACATACATACATACATACATACATACATACATACATACAGTGCTGGAGTGATTGCTGGATGACTGATAAACTGTTAAATGCGAGACAGAATGCTGATTGATGTGTTTGGAGTGTGAATTTAGATGTTTAGAGAAGTCAGTCTTTTTTCTATTAATGTGCAATGTACAATAGGTTGCCTATAATCACTGTTTTTCTGGTAGAAGTTTGCATCTATTCAGTTCGCTAATTTTAAAATATCTCCTCCATACCCTTTACTGGTGAACAATTAATAGCATTGGTAGTAATTCTGGTCCTGTTAAAAGCTTGCTGGTAAAAATCACATGTGCATATGATTAGTTTGAAGTTCAAATTCCAGTACTAAAAATCACCTACACACTGCTACAACACATGAGCACTGAGGTGCTTATTTCAGATTCTGATAGCATATTCATTGGTGTGTAAAAAGAACATGCTTATTCATGTTCCCCTTGAACCCTCAATCAGCATTCTGCAATTAATTTCAGCCAGTGATTGTTAGGACTTTCTCAGATTATTATCACATAATATCTACAAAGCACTGGTTTTTATTTTAATGTGTCTGCTTAACTATGACAATTTCATTTTAGGGTTTTCAGTGGTTTTGTAAAATTAACTGTAAAGCTTTTGCACTAAGCACCTTGCACAAAGTCATAACTTGATTATTAGCTAGTTATTTCACTCAGACATTATTGTGAAATGAAATTGTCTTATACTCTAAAATATGTTGTTTATGTTATCCTTTCCTACTAGAGTGATTCTCTCTGGGCTAAATTCCAGGGGAAATATACTTGTATATAATTGTAATGTTTGATTGATAAGAATTATCACAAATATACCCTTGAGCAATTTATGTGGGTTGTTGTATGTTATACAACTCATTCCAGTCACTTTTGGAGGAGACTGATGACCTGAATCCATTTCCATCTCATTTTCGTCCTTGTTTCTGCACAGAAACTGCTTTGATCAACCTGAGCAGGATGGAAACAGTATGACTCTGTTAATTCTTGATCTCTCAAAGTCCTATATATATATAGGATAGAGTCACATCCTCAACATGCCAATGTCACCCAAGCTTTGTTTCTCCTTTCCATCAGACAGTGGAAGCAGTGAATTAGTGTTTTGAAGCAGTAGCAGACAGACACTATTCAAGTCAGTCCACTCAAAATGGAATTCCTCTTTGTGTGTGGTTTGTTTGACTAGGGAGTTGTTGTTCAAGGTAAAGGTAAAGGTTCCCCTTGACAATTTGTCTAGTTGTGTCCAGTTCTAGGGGGCGGTGCTCATCTCTGTTTCCAACTCATAGAGCTAGCATTTGTCCAAAGACAATCTTCTGTGGTCACGTGGCCAGCGCAACTAGACACGGAACACTCTTACCTTCCCACCGTGGTGATACCTATTTATCTACTTGCATTTTGCATTTTACATGCTTTCGAACCACTAAGTTGGCAGGAGCTGGGACAAGTAACAGGGGATCACTCTGTCGCGTGGATTTGATCTTACGACTGCAGGTCTTCTGACCTTGTAGCACAGAGGCTTCTGCAGTTTAACCCGCAGTGCCATCACGTCCGTGCTAGTTGTTGTTCAACCTGTTCCAAATAGGATTGCACTCTGCCTAATGACCAAGGCCAGAATATGAGAGAAGAAATTGACCATAGTTTGATACTTAAGACACAAGTAGCAGCATGACCTGGTCCTTTTGGCATCTAATACTAATTGTTTATTTATTTGAAATCTTTGTACACTCTTTTCCAGTAAAACTGGAATGATTTATAGAAAACAAGACAAAATGCAAACGTTTAAATAAAAAAATAATAAAGTATAGTGTGTTATAATAAAGTTTAGGAGAAACTTGTTACGTATCATCATCATCAACTCAGAACTGACTTATAGCAAACCCAACAGGGCTTTCAAGGCAAGTGAGACATTTAAGGAGTGATTTTAATTGTTCTTCTCTCCAGTGAGCTTCCATGGTTGTGTAGGGATTCGAAGCCAGGCCTCCTGAGTACTGGTCCTGCATTCTGTCCACTACACTACACTGGGTATCAGGAGAAATTTAGGGGGAAAGAAACATGTTTGTCTGATGTCCCTTCCTTCAAAAATATTGACAAAATTGGAACTCCTCGGAAAATAATTTTGTAAACAGAGTATCAGTAATAGGATATTATCTCTCTTTGGTTACCATTCAGTTTACCTCAGATGGTGGGGACACCTAAAGAACAGTGTCCATAGATTAACTCTATACAAGGACAATTTTGTGTAGGAAGGGGTGATCTTTTAGGTTCCTGGGTCCTAAGTCTTATACAGGTAAGAAGTATCACTTTGAAGTCTCCAGAAACATAGGTAGAGTACAATTGTTTCAAATATATTACCTGTCACGTGCCCAGTAGCTGTATTATGAATTAACTGTAACTACTGCAAGTTGTCGTAGACAGAATGTATGTCTGCGAGTGAAAAGATGACCTTATTAGCTGCTGTCTTTAATAGGTCTTCCCCCACCTTATACGCTTGCCTGATTTCTGTTCTGATGGCCTGATGAGAAGGCAGGTGCACACATTGTCATCCAGTGTTACTGTTGTGTATTTTAACAGTTTTGCTGCACCATCTATGCTTTTGTGGGTCCTTTACTTTTGCTTTTGCTATTTTTGTACCTATTTTTTAAATTGTATGTCACCTTCAGAAGCCTGTTACTGAAGATTGTCTTATAAATTAACTATAGAGATAAAAATAAAGATGGATACACAGTGCACACACAAACAAGTGGTGTGTGTTTTTATGACCAGCAAAAATAGAAAGAAGCTTTAAAAGTACAATGATTCTCCTACTAAAAATTGTGACTCTCATACCCTTTCCAAAGTAGGTTCCTAGTGGAAGGAAAAGGGCTTCTGTTCTCTACTACAACAAAGCATAGGCAGAACTGTTTGGGCTTGGAGCACATCATTTGTGCAGAAAGTCTAGGGTCCCATAATGAACTATCAGAACCATTTCACAGAACTGAGCAATACTTTCCATAGATGTAGTATGTCAGCTATGTGCAATTGCAACATGTTGTGCATGGACATATTACATCTGTTAAAGGACTGCTTCTTCGTAAAATATATCTCAAACTATGACATTTCCTGTAGAGAACTTAGACTTGGGAGGTTGGAACTTAGGACTTGGTACTAAAGACCTGGACTCAGACTTGGGACTTGATACTGAAGACTCAGACTCAGGACTTGGACCCAAAGACTTGCCAACATATCCAGGGAAATATATGCTGTTTATGTGCTGGCTTCTGGGAATGAAGCTTCATGTTTCTCTACTACTTGATTTTTGGCATCCAGTATGTGGGGTGTAGCATGAAGTTGTCTTGTAATGATGAGTAAAAGTCATGCCTGTGTGTCATATCTCTCTATATTTATAGTTCTTTCTGTTGTTTTCCTTTTCCTTCAAACTATAAACAACCTTTTCTCCAGGGTCCTGGAGAAATCTTATTGTTGTTGCACTACTTAATTCCAAGGGCTTGTGATTCAGAATCTGGCAAGCCACCACTATGATGATAATGTCATTGTTTTCCCTATAACTTTGCAAAGCCGAGAAGAATAAAGGCCTGTAGCATAAAGCATCTGTTGCATCAGGATCTTGGAATACCAGAATTTGGGAAAACTAGAATGTTGTAATTATAGAGAATGCAAGCTATAGTACCTACAAATTTCACCTACATATTTTACCATATTGGATGTCCAGATTTCAGGGATGTTATTGTAGAGTAGCCTTGGTTAGCTGGATTTATCTAAACATTTTGCAATGACATTAGTAAACTACTGTATTGTTCAAGCCTTAATTTTAACAGCACATTCATTTGCAGGGTTACCTTTTCTACATCCCTTTAATTATGTTAACACCTTATACATACATCTTCATAAACTCTTCCTCTTTACTTTCTCTTATATAAGGAATTACTTTTATTCATTTCTGTGGGAAATGCAGAGTAAAACACTCATTGGTAACCAACTTGTGAAGGCTACTTCCTTCCTTCCTGTGCTTGCTCTGACTGTTGGGAATCAAACTTATTTCTATCCCAAGCTGAGCCTTGTCTTAAGTCAATGTTGTGTTCTTTTGCAAGGTCAAGGATTACTGGGAGAGTTATACAGAAAGCTGGAAAATTACTTTTTCAGATAGCTGGATAAATTTACTTCATTCTCTTTGTTTCTCTATTTACAGCTTGCAGGTCAGGATTCTATAAAGCATTTGCTGGGAATATAAAGTGTTCCAAATGTCCTCCACACAGCCAAACCTTTGTAGAAGCAACATCTGTATGCCAATGTGAAAAAGGTTACTTCCGAGCTGAGAAGGATCCACCAACTATGGCATGTACCCGTAAGTTTGATTCAGTCTGGTGTTTGAAATTCTTCCCTTGTCCATCTCATCATCTCCAAAGACAAAAATAGCAGTTATTTTATATTCCTCTCACAAAACCTGAAAGTATGAGAGCATGTTTTTGTTAATCAAGAATGCAAATTAGGTGTTCCTTTATTCCCAGTACTCCTTCAAATAAGTGAAAATATTCTTCAGTCTGAAGTACTTTTAAAAAACCCTGTGTACTTACTAACACTTCTGTTAATAAGAAACTGGCCACACATTTCAAATCAGGGTACTGAAATATATAATATACATGATGTGGGAAATATAACCTTGTACAAAATATATATTGTGATAATTTGATAATAAATACAAAATTTCTGCCAACACTTATAATCAAGCCTCTTTTTCTCAGGCATGATCTCAAAATGTTGCAACTGTTCCACAAATATCTTCCTGACATATAGGCAAAAAAACTATGAGGGGGAAAAAAAGAAACACATAATCAGCCATTCTTGGGCGTATTTGAAACACTGTCCCTAAAGGCAATCTTGGCTGGCAAGTAGGTTACTCTAACTGTATAAAAAGTCATAATTTCCATTACAAAACCAAATGCAAGACTTAGTTACAGTAGTCCAATGTGCAAGCTGATGGAGGTCCAAAAGAACAAGATTTAACATTTTGCTTTGGAAGTCACTGTAGGGTTTGGTGTGTGTGTGTCATCCTGTTCTATGGCTAATTCATTCTCAAGCTATGTTTGCCCATAAGCTATATTTCCATTTAAGAGGGCACCTACTATTTGATAAACAGCATGTCCTTGATGGTACTTGCCAGCCAGGTATCAGCCTATAACATTTGTATCTGCAAGAGCAGGAAATAACATTTTCTTCATTCCATAACTTTAGTTGTAATCTGATAGTTTTATACTTTTTCAGTCTTCTTAAACTCTGGTTCAGCTAGGACATATCTTTCACCTAGAGCTGGAAAATGTAGCATGGGAACTGACAATGACTTTCAGTATGGCATGGCCCTATTTCCCTCTCCATTTCCTCTGGATGTTGTTCACCCAGCAAAGAATATCCAGGAGAAAATCAGAAGTTTCACTACTCCAAAGAGAAGACTTGGCCATTATATTGTGCCTAAACCAAAAGAAAACCACAACTTTAGAAATGAGCTATGTGTAGTGTGTTACTGTCTCTTTATCATAGAAATGACATACAACCTGCTGCTTGAACAAGTCCAAAATGCTCCACAGCCTCCCAGAACAGATCTGAAAGTGTGAAGCAGGGCTGAAGAGAATGAGGGCAGGGGGAGTTACATAATCACATCTATTCTTTAAGTTGATAGATCCAATGAATTTTATCTCCATTTCAGAATTTGGCAATGCAGAAAATAACATGAATTTCTTGATATAAATGAAGGTCCTTGTTGGTGTCCCATTTAGTTTTCTGGATCCTGGATATAACATTTCTTCATAAAATGTATTTTGCATGCATTACTTACATTATTAATCATTCCTCCTTGAAACTAGAAAAGACATGATGACTGATGTATGTAGCTGAAATAAATTAATTATTTAAAATCATCAGCATATTTACTTGCCTAAAGAACATGTATAGTGTAAGGAGGTTCCTGAGCATATTGCTCACAGATGTCTGTGGAAAGGTTATGCCTGCCAGCTTTTTTTTAATGTGACATATAATCTATGTATAATTTATAAATGATAACAAAGCAATCAGGCCACATTCATAAAAATCCCAATGACACATAATTTAGCAGAATCTGAGGATTAGAATTAATTGTCTCTCTTTGTTCCAAGTTCTAAATCTTAGTAAATGATTCACTGCATGTCATTACAGCTTAATATTTGCATGAAATCACAGTTTAGATGGCATAATTTAATGGCAATTAAAAAGCTATTTAATCGTCATGCAAATTGGCATGAGAGCCCTTGAGTATGAAGGGTGTCTATTTCTTCAGTGTCTGCAGGCGGACATTTATAAACTTTTTAAACACTACTGCCACAATTGATAACAATTTTCCTATTCATAGCAATATGAATACATAATAAATCATGTTTTGTTATAAACAAAGAACCAAATTCCCTGTACACATTTTTTATACACAAAAATTATTACCAATTGCCAGCAAATTGTAAGACAAAAACTAAACTGTGCATAGTTTGTTTTTTCAGGTGCCATCAATATAGAATGATACAATAATATGCAAGGAGAATAAATAAAAATAACATAAAGGTATGATCTCAGTAACTATAACATAATTATGACCTTTTCACTTACATCTGGTGGTAAGTTAAACTGAAGGTTAATTCACAAGATATGTTTTCAATTCATAGAAATAGTCTAGGAGGTATGAAAGTACACACATACATTAGTAAAAATAATTGTTCTAGTTAGCTAAAGACATAGTCCATATGGGGCAGACATCTGCATCCTAGTGTGATCCCCAATGGTTGTTACAGAGTCTAATGGTATTCTATATTTTGTTCCATGAAACCAGACAGACATATATCGAAACCAACAGGGTTAATTGAAACATAACACGTGTCAGTCACAAGTTTAACATTGAACTACATAGAACCACTATAAACAATTGGAGCAAAATACAATTAAGAAAACCTTCAAAACTCAGTCTTTCCCACCTGTTCAATGACATTCTCTTTGGTCGAGTCCCAGAAAGTGAGTTGGTCCATGATGACCCCAACAAAGATGGTCATAACAATGAAGGGCTTACATGGTAACAGGGATGGCAGCTGTGCCAAGCCTCTCCCAGACTCTTTTGCTTCTGTATATATATATTCAGTGGTGCCCCACATAGCGACGATAATCCGTGCAGCCAAAATCGTCACTATACGGATTCATCGCTATGCGAAATAAAAAAGCCCATAGGAATGCATTAAAACCCGTCCCCTTGACTGCAAGGAGAACAAACCTATCCATTTTGAAGGAAATCAAGCCTGAGTGCTCACTGGAAGGACAGATCCTGAAGCTGAGGCTCCAATACTTCGGCCATCTCATGAGAAGAGAAGACTCCTTGGAAAAGACCTTGATGTTAGGAAAGTGTGACGGCAAGAGGAGAAGGGGACGACAGAGGATGAGATGGCTGGACAGTGTCTGCGAAGCAACCAACCTGAAATTGACACAACTACGGGAAGCAATGGAAGATAGGAGGGCCTGGTGTGCTCTGGTCCATGGGGTCACGAAGAGTTGGACATGACTAAACAATTAAATGACAATGATGGGCAAAAAAATTATCTTTATGCGAAAATCCTCCATACGGCCGCCATTTTCGCCAGTAAGCAAGGAATGGGCGCGAAAACACAGAGGGCGGCCATTTTTTTACCCGGCAGCCATTTTGGAACCGCCTATAAGCTGTTGGGAGAACATCATTATGTGAAAATCGGTAAGCGAAACAGCTTACCAATCATCGCAAAGCGATATTTTCCCATTAGAAACATCGTTATGCAATCGCAAAAACGATCGCAAAAAATTGTCGCTATGCGGATTCATCATTAAACGAGGTGCCCGTTAAGTGAGGCACCACTCTGTGTGTGGTTGTGTGTGTGTGTGTGTGTGTGTGTGTGTACGCACTAGAACTTACATAAACTATTTTCTTTCTTTTTCTTCTTTTTAGGACCACCTTCTGCTCCAAGGAATGTTGTTTTTAACATAAATGAAACAGCTCTCATGTTGGAATGGAGCCCACCTAGTGACACAGGAGGGAGAAAAGACCTCACCTATAGTGTAATTTGTAAGAAATGTGGATCTGACACCAGTCAATGTGAACTATGTGGAGGAGGGATACGATTCATTCCCAGACACACTGGGCTAATCAATTCCTCAGTGACTGTGCTTGATTTTGTGTCCCATGTGAACTATACTTTTGAAATAGAAGCCATGAATGGAGTTTCAGAATTAAGTTTCTCACCGAAGCAGTTCACAGCTATTACCATTAGCACGGACCAAGATGGTGAGTTTGTGTTGTGAACCAGTTAAAGCCTACAATTGTGATTATAGTGTATAGTTCCTTTTGTGAATTATGACTAACAGCCCCCCAACTCACTGAAGGGCTATACTTGTTGTTCAGGTGGGAGCTGTGGGTGGGGGCAGAATGTCAGTCACCATTTTGGATGCCACCGGGCTATTGCCTTCCCAGGAGGCAGTGCACTGGAACAGAGGAACTTGTGGTGGAGATCCCTGATTGATAAAGGGGTCATCAACTCCTATAGAAAGTCCAGATTGGAGGATTCAAATCTGGCCAGTATCTATGGTTTAAAAAGGAAAATGCAGACCTGGAGTCACTATTCGGTTCTGAATCTTCTCTCACCTGCTTCCCCTCTCATCTGGTGTTTTTAGTTAGCAAGTAAAAGGGGTTGTATGTGTTCTGTCACAGATTTGTTGGAAGGAATTGGAAGGAAGAAGATGGATCAGGTTGCACGGGGGTCAGGCAGTTGCTTTATCCTCTCTAGCAGATTTTCTTTAAGGGGTGGGGCAGAGAGAGGTTACAGAGCTCAGCTCAGGAGACCATGAACTCTTCACTGTAGGTGTGCTAGAAGAGCCCACACAGTGATGCATGCCCATATGGTTAACCCCATTTTCCAGTTCACTTGCTTATAAGATCACTCAGGAGATGGGTCAGCTGATGTTGATCCATCGTCAATGTTAGTGCCAGTATTAGTGACAGCTGTTACCAATGAAGTTGTGGCCTGATTTACTTCCAATGCTTGTGCATTTCTGTAATTATTTCATACCTACCTGTGACCACCACCTGCTGGCTTGAATCAGTATGTACTTGGACCATCTGCACTTCTGTGGTACCAGTTTTCGTTTTTGCTTTCGCTTTTCTTGGTTTCAGAATGAGACTTCACAGATAATGACAAAAATCCTGTTCTCTATTTACACCAGCAGAAGAAAAATGGCATCTATCTATCTATCTATCTATCTATCTATCTATCTATCTATCTATCTATCTATCTATCTATCTATCTATCTATCTATCTATCTATCTATCTATCTATCTATCTATCTATCTATCTATCTAGCCCATCTGTCAACCCAGGCCACTCTGGGCAGTTTACGAAATACGATAAAACAAAATATAAAGACAAACAATACAAAGCAGAAAATAAAATAATTATACAATATTTTAAGAGGTTGAACATTAGTGAATTCTGGTTATTATATGCTATTGTATCAGATGTCATAGAGTCTGGGAAGGCCTGTCTAAATAGAAAAAATGCTTAATAATAACTTAAAGGTTCCCAATGAAGGCACTAGGTGAATATTGGGCAGGAGAGTATTCCATAATTGTGGGGCTACCACAAAGAAGGCCCGGTTTCTGGTTACTGTTTTCTGGGCCTCTCTTGGGGGTCAAAATTCTCAGTTGTCCAGCCTGCGAAGATCTTACAGGACGGGCAAATCTGGTTGGAAGAAGGCATTCTGCCAGATAACGTGGTCCCAAATTGTTTAGGACTTTGTATGTTAACACCATTATCTTGAAGTTGGCACGGAAATGAACAGGCAACCAGTGCAAGGCAGCCAAGGTGGGAGAGATATGTTGATGCCTTCTGACCCCACTTAGTAGTCTGGTGGCTGAGTTCTGGACCTGCTGAAGTCTCCATGCCAACACCACTGGCAGCCTCACATAGAGAGCATTACAGTAGCCTAATCTGGAGACTATCTGTGCATGGACCAGCATGGTGAGGGACCCAGTGTCAAGGTAGGGATGCAGCTGAGCGATTAATAGATTATAGCAGTTTATAGCCACTAATTAACTGGTTCCTCATTTGATTCTTAGTCACAGTGGAATCTAAGTAGGGATTCATTATTAGCAGCAATTAGCTTATTTTTCCCGGTAGCGTAACTACAGATCAGGATTTTGGCTATTAAAACCAGGCTACTTAAGCAAAATGTTACATTCACTTTTCTTGATACAATGTAACCTATATGCTTACATTTTCTAAGGCATGCTTGAACCTCTTTATTTTCCTCCATTTAACTTTATAGAATTAAGAATAGTACAATATAGTGAGATTTGTTTCTGTGTGAACCTCACTCATTTTGATAGTCCTAATGACAAAGTAATATTCAGCCATATTGAATTTAATTTTTTTTTTAAATTACAAAAATTGGATGGGTCTAACCTGAATATCTTTCTTAAGGAGAGCACACTACAGTGGCTAATATTCTTTTGGGTCCTTGTACTGTTAGTAAAAGCCTGTCAGCAGATCTCAAAAGAGTTATATTTCCTTCTCCGATACAGGTGGAAGATTATTCAGAGAACTGTAGTGACTTATTTATGAAGTACTTTGGATATATTATCTCCGAGACTTGTTTAGCCATGGACCAATTTCTCAATATCAGTGCTAGAGTTTACAGTCTGTTCATCTGCCATTTTTGGGTATGTTTGTTCTTGTTGGCCCTTAGGATGTAGATAGAGTCCCTGGAGAAATGCAGTCAACCACTTGTTCAGTTGACCTTTGCCCACTGCACCTTCTGAATTCAATAAAGACAAGCTTGCACATGCAGCAAAGGCTTCAATAAAGGAAGAATGTGTACCAATAATATTGAAAGATGTGGGAGTATGCCCTCTGTTGAAAAAAAGATTGTTTGGCTTCTTAACACCTGAATAATTATTATCCAATTTCAAATATACTTTTTCTGAGCGAAGTATGTAAGCATGTGGTGGCGTTAAATAGCTGAATGACACTGATCATATGGATCATTTCAAATCTGGCTTTCAGTTTGGTTTGGGGACTGCTTTGTTTGCCCTAGTAGATAACCTTGTAATCCTGTTGATTTTCTGGATCTCTAAGAAGTGTTCAGTACCATTGACCATAATGGCCTTCTGGACCATATCTTGATAATATGAAGCTCAGCTGGTTCCATCCATTCTCAACGGACTGGACCCAGAATGATGTACAGGGGCAGTTATTCCTCTCCTTGGTGTATGGAGTTCCACAGGAGTTGGAGTTCTCACTTTTTATGCTGTTCTCACTTTTTTTAAAGTCAAACATCGGCATGGGATTACTAGGATATCACTATGTGGATGATATGCAGCTCTCTTATTTTCATTTGAGCCTAGAGAAGTAGCAGGTATTAATACCTGTCTGGCAGCTGTGAGAGACTGGTTTAGGCAAAATAAGCTGAAGCATCATCCTGGTGAGACAGAAGTAATCTTGGTAGATGAAGCAACTGAACAAATAGCTTGGCTTGTGCAGCCATGGATTTGCACTCCTTCTGAAAGGGTATGTTTATGTACTTTGTGTTTGTTGCAAGGAGAGCCTATGTTCCTAGCTTTGTCTCATCTGTCAGCATACAATATTGAATGTCACTTTTCAAAATGAATATGTTGCATTGTTTGTAAGTGAGCTTGAACATCAAGCCATTAACATAATGGCAGCCTAAAAGAGTAATTCCTTGCACTGCTCATTTTGAACTCACTAGCAGTACCATTGTACCACTGAAAAATGCAGCAAAAGTGGCTGGTGAGCCAGCATATGGAACTAGCACACAGAGGGAGATAAAGAGTTTTATTTCCACTACTCACAAAAGATTCCCCTTCTGTTCATGCTGAATCTTTCCATGGAGCAGTTCACTTCACTCCTCCATCTCTTCATCCATTGGGACTCACTTTGCTGTCGATTGCCCATTCTTAATCCCTCTTGTCTTGTGCTGTGTGATCCTTGATAGTTGCACAACACAAAAAGGAGGAAGGCTACACATCCTTCCCCCTCAAACAGATCAGACTAAACACACACACACACATACGCCAAAGTGACAAATACAGTGGGGTCTTGACTTGAGAACTTAATCCGTATTGGAAGGCGGTTCTCAAGTCAAAATGTTCTCAAGTCAAATCTGCATTTCCCATAGGAATGCATTCAAAACCATTTGATCCGTATCTGCTCTTTTCTGTCCATAGAAACTAATGGGAAGCTGCTATTCTGCCTACGACCACTAGAGGGGGATTTCCCTTCCACCCACGTGTTTTTTTTTAGTACTTAACTCAAATCTAAGTATGTAAGTCAAGTCAATATTTTCCTATGAGAGTGGTTCTTAAGTCAAGATGTTCTTAACTCAAGGCGTTCTTAAGTCAAGACCCCACTGTAACAGGGTTATACTCAGTTCTTGTTTCACTGAAAAGTGTGTGTGTATGTGTGTGTGTTTAAACATTCATAGCCCGCCTTATGTCATAGGATCTCAGAGCAGAATTTTGAAACATAAGATATTTAAAACAATTTAAAGTCAAACACCAAAAATCGAAACACTTACATATTTGAAACATTGCACTAAAACCTGTGCAGGCTTTACAACCATGGCTATTACAGGCCAAAAAGTAACTTCCTTCCAGCTTGTAATCGCAAATTATAATGGTTTACAAAAATATCTTGTTAGAAAACTGAGTTATTTCTAAGCTCTGGGATTTCCCAACCATTTATTCCCGGTCCCTACTGCTGGTTTCTTGTGTTCCTTCAGCTACTCATCCCATATTCACAAACTACTAATACTGGGAATAATAATAACTGCTCCTGAAACAATATAATAAAGGACAGATAAATCATGTTAATGAATTGACAACATGAACATACATAATTTGGTGTAGTCTACATGAGATACCTTCTCATTGTTATTTTTCTCTTTCAATTGCCCTGTTGCACACCTTTTAGCTGACTGTTGTTGTTTTCTTATCCTTGTCATTCTCTCTCACTGTGTGTCCATTCTACAAATATTTATGCTGTCCTTGAAACATGCCAGTGTCTCATCCCTGTATTTACATTTAGTTCACATCGTATCCTCTGTGTTTCATCTTTTTTGGATTACTAGGGCGTGGGGTGCTGTTGCACTGTCACTGTTAAAACATGTTAATGTGTAGCCTTCAGTTTTAAATTGTCTGCTGCAGTTCCTAAAAAATGTCTAACAACAGAAGGGGGGGAATCCATTAACCAGGCAGTAACAGAATTTTTCTTC